TCTCTAGCTCACATCTTTGTCATGACTCGTGAATAGATATTTGCTCACACATAGTTGAATTCAAGCACATCTTCAAGAAAATGGCTTCCCTCGTGTTAATAGTTTCACTTCTCTTTGCAACTTTCTCTTCTCCTTTTGTAGAGGCTGCTAATAGTACTGGTTACACCCTCCGGGCAGGATCACTAAATCTAATCGATTCTTGCTGGCGAAGAAACCCTAATTGGGCGACTAACCGTCATGCCCTAGCCAACTGCGCGATAGGATTTGGGAAACCCACGTTAGGGGGCAAGCAGGGGCCGATCTATGTGGTTACAAGCCCATTAGACGACCCTAAAGCCCCTAAACCCGGAACTCTAAGATATGGGGCGAGCCAACCTAAACCGCTATGGATCACATTCGCACGTGACATGGTCATAGTGTTAAAAACCCAGCTCCATGTAATGAGCCACCAGACGATTGACGGGAGAGGGGCAAGAGTGGAAATTGCCAACGGGGCGTGCCTATCGGTATACCATGCAAGCCATGTCATTATACATGGGATAATTTTCCATGATTGTAAACCGGGTAGTTTAGGTCCGAAAAGATGGGAGGGTGACGCAATCCGCGTGTTTCATTCTACGCATGTTTGGATCGATCATTGTTCCTTTTCTCGGTGTCAAGATGGTTTGATCGATGTGCTACATGCTTCTACGGCCGTTACTATTTCTAATAATTCATTAACACAGCACGTTAAAGTAAGTATTTATATATTTTCGTTGTAGTATAACTTTAAGACATGTCGAATATCTTGAATATTGATGATATTTTCACAAAGGCGATGTTACTCGGACATGATGACAATTTTGTGGATGATAAGAAAATGAGAGTTACAGTTTTATTTAACACTTTTGGACCGGGTCTCTCTGCAAGAATGCCTAGGTATTTTATATATATATTAATTTAACTGAACTGGATAAGAAAATGTTGACGTAGATATGCGATTGGTGACGTGGCAGGGTGAGCAGAGGGTATGCGCATGTAGCAAACAATAGGTACGAAAAATGGCTAACGTATGCGATCGGAGGAAGTGCTGATCCAATTATCTTTTGTGAAGGCAACTACTTCGTTGCTCCAAACGACCCTAGCAAAAAACAGGTACATATCTTCATTACAAAATATCATATAAGTTTTAATGATTAAATTGGAACACTCACATTAAAAATAACATGAATGCCTAACTTATTATATGATGCACTTTTGGGTTTAATATAGTCATTTATCAATTGATTTTGAGTCGAACGAATGCATTATGCATGAATAATTAAAATTTGTGTCGTGTTCGAATACACATATATATACAATATAGGTGACGAAGAGAATGGGTGGTAAACTTGGTACAGCAAAATGGAAATGGAGTACGTCTAAGGACGTTTTCATGAACGGAGCTTACTTTACGCCGTCTGGCGGACCTGCCGTCGCACCGCTGTATGGAACAGGAGAGTCGTTTCAGGTGTCCCCCGGCTCTCTCGTCCCTTCTCTTACTTCTTCAGCCGGTGCTCCCCGTTGCACCATCGGCAGGGTTTGCTAATTAATTACTCACCTTTATATATATATATGCATATGTGACATAATGTTTCATGATTGTAATGTTCTAGTTTTTCTTTTTAACGAGTCGGAATTCTTGTTTCCGGCTTGTGTTTTGTGAATTCTTCGTAAATTCAAATGATCTTGCAGATTTTGTTTTGAACATGTAAAAAGTGTACTACTTTGGACACAAAATGTTACAAAATTATGTTATCCCAAACTTACATTGAAAAAAAATTCAAAGTTATCGA